GTTTAAAAACCCACCCGGTAGGAGCGTTCTAGAACACATCCTGCAATAAAAAGAGAGTCATGTGTTTGGTTTATCTCGACTGCAATTTTTAGGGTTTTATCTTCCAACTCTCAGAACTCTCGTTTTCTTATCCTCAAGGTAAGACGAATCTCTTCTCTTTCACTTTATACTCCACACTCTCCTCACTTTCTACTAGGGTTTTAGCTAAGCTTCACTACGAGAATTGAACACAAAGGTTTGAAATTTAGGCGGATAAAGTAATCGGGTTTGCTCAGTACTAATTGGGTTTTGCGGAAGATTTTGTGAATCTGAAATAAACCCATTTGATTGTCTTTCAATTCGTACTAATCGAGATTTGTTGTGTGTGTTTTAGTGATAGTAGAAATGGCGGCGACTCAACTTACAGCATCACCAGTGACTGTGTCAGCGAGGAGCTTAGCCTCGCTTGAAGGTCTTCGAGCTTCGAGTGTCAAGTTTTCTTCTTTCGGAACTTTGAAACCAGGGACCCTTAGGCAGAGCCAGTTCCGTCCTTTTGTTGTTAAAGCTGCTGCTGTGGTAGCTCCTAAGGTACTCTTGCTCAGTTCTTTGTCTCGATTCATTGCTGTTTGGTTAGTTGGTCTGGATTGAACATATGGAGCTTATGTGAATGTTGTATTACTGTTTGTATGGCTCATTCGTTTTGTTTATTTTGTCCATTCGTGTTTTGTGCGATACACAGTTTCATCAACTTATGCTTCTAGCTTTCTTTTGTAAGCCTGGTTTGTATCTTAAGGGCGCCTTGTGAGACATTTGGACTTACAAATTCTATGTTCGTTTTGGTTTTTCTTGTGTATGGTTATTTTACAGTATACTTCGATAAAACCATTGGGCGATAGAGTGTTGGTGAAGATCAAGGAAGCAGAAGAGAAGACCATAGGAGGTATCTTACTTCCATCCACAGCTCAAACAAAACCTCAAGGAGGTGAAGTTGTTGCTGTTGGTGAAGGAAGAACTATTGGGAAAACCAAAGTTGATATCACTGTCCCGGTAATACACTCACCGCCTCTCTTTCCTCGTTTGCTTCGTTTTTTCTGCTAATAGATTCATCTGAAATGTCTTTTTTTCCTCTTCTTCTCATGGTGTAGACTGGAGCACAGATTATCTACTCTAAATACGCAGGAACTGAGATAGATTTCAATGATGTGAAGCATCTCATTCTCAAGGAAGATGATATTGTTGGCATCCTTGAGACTGAAGACATCAAAGATCTCAAGCCCTTGAACGACCGAGTCTTTATTAAGGTTTGCCTCTTGTGCTTTCATCTTAATCATCTTATTATTGTTTCTCCACAAGAGAACAGTGATAACAAGAGGAAGTTTTTAGGTTGCTGAGGCAGAGGAGAAAACAGCTGGAGGGTTGTTGTTAACTGAGACTACCAAAGAGAAGCCTTCTGTTGGCACGGTAAGCACACACTTTATATCATGTCCATCACAAGACTTTCTTAGTAGTTTGATGTGTTTCTCAGTTCATACACAAGTGTCAATGATACATACTCTCCTCTTCGTTTTTTTGGGCACAGGTGATAGCGGTTGGACCAGGTTCTCTAGACGAGGAAGGTAACCTTACTCCACTACCAATATCGACTGGAAGCACAGTTCTTTACTCCAAGTATGCCGGTAACGACTTCAAGGGCAAAGATGGTTCCAACTACATTGCCCTAAGAGTTTCTGATGTGATGGCTGTGCTCTCTTAGTTATATCCTCGTAACCTACAATTTGTATCCCAATTGTGGAAAATTTTCTTAAACGGCTTATTTGCGCATCTGGAATAAAGACTTTAGAGTTTGAAAATGTGATTGCAATTTGTCTTCCTCGTTGACTTGCAAAACTTGGTAGGTTCAAGTATATCAGTTTGTAGAATCTCGGACTCCCATCAAATAGAATGTTCTTGTAAACTTAGTGGAAAACATTTTACAGGTAAATGCTCTACATGGCCCGGCTGAAACTTTGAGACATGTTATCACAGAAGAGATTATATTACAAAACGAAGAAAAAAGAAAGAATCTTTGTCTGTGAGAGATCGTCTTCTGCCTTCACCGGTTAAACGAGGTGGCTGAGTTATCATCATAATGACCTCTCCAAGCATTGCCACTATCGCCGCCGCTACAAGCTTGATTAGTAACTGGTAAACCCGCAAAGTTTCCGTCCAAGCTCATCTGTTGAACCTCAGCTGATGAAAGGATCTTTATGCTCTGTACACAGTTCACGAATTCCCTGCAAAAATCAAGATTTTAAAGGTTAAGACAAAAAATGATGGAACTTTCTAACAGTCTGATGTGTGAATGGTATTGCTCTCTACTTACTCCCATGGATCATCCCCAACTAGAAGGATGTCGTTTTCATGATCGACATAAACAAGTTTCCAGTCTGATGTTTGCGGATCTTCAAGCTGTCCTTCGATCCCAAACATGCGAGCTAGATCATGCCTTAGTTCATCGTAACCTCTGTAACGGTTGACGTCTATTGATCTCCCCACTGAACCTCGCTTCTGCACCTGTTGGGTTATGTACATGATTGTCAAACCAAAAACGTAACCCAAGTTTCGACTAAGAGGGATCAGAGCAAAACTGAACCTTTGTATAAGTTCTCATTCGCTGAGTCTGAGCAGCCCATAATCCGCCACCAAGAACTCCAGCATCTTTGACAGCCACATCATTAGAAATGGCGGGCACATTGGGGATACCAAAAGATTGAGTTCTAACAGCTGAAGTAGACATCTCTGTACCGATGTCATTCGTCACTCCTCCATAGTTTGAAAGCATGTTCTGAAGATCTTTCTGGGAGTCATATCCCCTCGAGAGCAATGTGTCAGGCACAAAGCTATTATCAACATTAGCTCCTCCGAGCAAGCTGTTTCTGGAATCACCGTCAAGGCCAAAGGTTGGAGCCAAGAAATTTTGCTGTCTGTTGTTGTCGCCACCATCTAATCCGTAAGAAGTTCCAGAGGCAGATGCTTCTAGTTGATGATCTGTTAAAGTAGCTTTGGACTTTTGCTGACACACTAGATCTGGTTTTAGTGGCGTATCAGATTTGCTGTAAAGCTCCTGAACAAGATTACCAGGCATATCAGCCGCTGCATCAGGTATCAAGATCGCTGGCCCGCTTTGGCTTCTGTTGAGAAAGCCAGAAGAAGAGATCTGACAGTTGTTGGTGGAAGGCGAGGTTGAAGAGGAAGGTGCATCTCCTCCATCTGTGATGCCTGAATAGGCTCTGACCCCTCCTCCAATCGGTTGGTTTTGTTTGTCCTGAGGCCGGTTCACCAGCATTTGAGGCGGTTGCAACATTGATAAGCCATTGTTAGTGCAGGACGACTGAAACTGCTGACTTTGAGAGAGAGGAGACAGCTGTTGCATCTGCTGGCTTTGCAACTGTTGGTGCAGTAACTGAGACTGCAGAACCGAGCTTCCTGGTGAAAGAAA